CTAAACTGCACTGTTGTAATGACTTGCTACTGCAATGCAAATAACACTGCATTGAGTTATTTAAAGAGGCGTCTTTGTTCCTATAAGATTTGTTAGTTTTATGTGCATTGAGTTCATATGCTCAGAACCACTATAGTGTGAGATATAAACTCACAAACATCTTAGCTGAGGTGTGCAGTTTAAAAGTCTAAGAGGGAAATATCTCTCTCCCCCCTCTCTCCCTCTCTTTCTCCTCTGTGTGTGTGTATGTGTGTAAGAAAGAAAGAGAGAGAATTGAACCTATACTGCACCCACTTATTCCAGAAAAGAAATAAGCAACTTCTTTCTGTCTAATTTAAAAGGGTATCTTTTTTTTCTCCTTAACTGAAGAAATAGATATTGATGTGGAACATCCAGCAACAGCTCTAGTACTTATGCAATGTCTATTCAGATCATTCGAAGGCTCCACGGAGGGAGGGAGGGCGGGAAGGAAAGATGGAGGGAGGGAGGAAGGAAGGAAGGTCTGAGAAGATGTTTGGTGCTTTTTTCATTTATATTATGAAAGTTATCAAAATTCTACATGTCTATGAAAAAGTAATCATCCATTCCAGTTCAATTAGAAGCATAGCAAAGACTATGAGATTAATAATTCTCTTCACAGGGAGGCTTTTACCACATGGGTTCTAAGGGTACAACATGCCCTGTTCAAAAGAAATTTCTGAAGATCTTCATGAAAAACTTATTATTAGCTAGAAAATGTTACCTTCATTTGTAAATCCATGGGGCTCCACTAATCAATGGTTAGAGACTTAATCTTGAGTTGAGGAAGTATAATGGCAATAATCTTTTTTTCTCAAAATGAATATTTTGTCACAATCTCTCCGATGATGAAATTGTCCAGGAAGTCACAAAAATTCCAGAACTACATTTAAGGATTGGCAGATGTCTATCATCTAATGTTTGTGTTCATGATTCTAGCATCAGACAAATGCTACATAAAAATGAGATTGACAAGAAAGTAACAACACATAAATCATTACACACTAAAAGAAAAACCGGTGTCACTATTTAGCTTGCATCAACTCACCCCAAAATCATTGAATAATATTCCAGATTTCTGGATAAACACTTGATGAACAGATTAGTTAATCTGTTAACTAATTAGTTAACTAATTAAAATTAATTAGTTAATTTTTAAATACTATATGGGTCCTATTATTTTTGAAAATATAGTAATTAAAGACCAAATTCTACAGTAAGAATCTCATCCTAATCATTAAGCATGGAGGCGATAATATTATGGCTAGAAGTACTTTTAGGAATTCAATGACTTACTATTATTGAAAAAAGCTATGAATCCTTTTTTGACTAGAGAATTCTATAGAAAAATATCTGTCCATCACCTGAAGATAATACATAGATGGGTTATGTGGCAAGGAATAGATTTCAAACCTATACACATGTATAGTGTTACAAAAGAACGGATGAAAAACACATTCAGTATTTAGGTATGGACAAATTAAAGCCAAAACCCATAAAACTATTACAGGATCTTAAATTAATATGTTGGTTCCTGCTAGTAAATTTTCAAATATTACTGAGTTGAAGTAATTCATATTGAGGAATGAAGCAAAATTCCTTCACAAAAATCAGACAGACCATTAATGAATTACAGGGGAAAAAAAATGACTTCAGTTCCTGCAGCTAAAGGTGAATGCAAGCAGTTATGTCTCAATCTGGATTTTTCAAACTTAGCAACTTTAGAATGCATGAACTTCAACTCCTAGGATTCCAGCTGGGGAATTCTAGGGCTTGAAGTTCATTGCTTAAAACTACTAAGTTTGAAAAACGCTGGTCTAAATCAAAGGAACATTACTTTTTCTGCATGGGCAGGCTGTACATTTGATGACTTTATTGATGACATACAAGAAACAAATATAAGCACAAAAGTTCTATTACTTGTTCGTTCAAACTTTTTCTGTTACCACTACTAACTAAAAGGGAGAAATACTTTTACAGAAGGATGTCACTGCTTTAAATTCTGTTACTTAGGAAAATGGCCATTATTAATTGCTGAACCCACCTGTTGCTTTCTCCTCAGCCAAAGATCACATAGCTTAATTTCTAGAATTCAAAAATGCATCCAAATGCATCTCTTATTAAAAAGGAGGTTCCTTCACTTTATCATGAGCTTAATTCTCTTGTCAATAGCAGCCTTTTTCTCTACAATGGATAACTACACTTCCCTATATATGAAATTTGTATTTCTCTACTTTCTCTCAAGCTTTTGTTTCCAAGCATTCCATGAAGTTTCCTAATAAAATTTGGTTGAGAAAAACTTCAGATAACTCTTTAGCCAAGGATTAGTATATCTATCTGGAAGGCCCCAGTGGTGGGATTTAGCCAGTTCGCACCAATTCAGCAGAACCAGTAGCTAATTTTTTGTTGCCCAGGCCTAGAATGGACTTCTGGAAGTGGCATCCACACAGAGAACTGCTTGTTCACATATTTGAATCCCACCACTGGAAGGCCCTGGTTGGTTTTTGTGAGATACAGAATTTATTCCAGAACCCCATGCAACAGAATGAAGGCTAAATTATTATATAAATTCTATTTTACTAAGGAAGGCATTCTGTATTTTTAAATCATTTTAACTACATAGTTTCTATAATGTATCAACAAATAACATTTTTAAAAACACTACAGTATTTTTTCCACTGCTCGGTTTATGTTATATAGTAATTTGCTTTACAGTAATATCTTCAGCTCTTTGTTAGTGTAAACCACTTGGAATTGTGGTCTGTGTAGGAGAGATAAATTTAATTGCTAAAGATAGTTGATTCTGTACAGAATGAACTTTTGGCTCTGCCTCTTATGTCCCTTTTTATTAAACTGTAGCAGTCTGATCTCCACATTACCAGTCTCACCACCTCTGGCTACACTTTTCAGAATTTAAACTTTAGGAAATTCAGAATAACCTATTCAGTATAATAATCAAGGCAAATTTTTTCATGCTACTTGTAGTATAGCTCCATTAAAAATTCTGAATTTGGTTTTTTTTAAAACACAATTGCTTAGTTTTAAAACACTGTTTTAAAATTCTGTACCTCAGAAAAGAAAATAAGACTTTGCACAATATATTAGCTCTGAAAGGACTATAATTGCATTGCTGTATTTTATCTATTAAAATATATTCTGTAAGTCAAAAAGGCCAAAAGGAATGCTAAGTGCTACCTTAACATTTCTTTCTTTTCTAAAATTTGCAAATAGACTCTCAATATCACATTCTTTTCCAATTTCTCTTGAGCAATCTGTTGAAATAGAGAAGCTGTCCAAGCACAGAATTGTGTAAAAAAAGAAGCAACTTTCTTGCATATATATATATATAAAAAAAACAACCTGTTTTGTCTTAGAAAAGCATTAAGAAAAGCAATAAAAGTTAAGGTCTGTGATGTAATTTTTCATGCATAAACCTCCATGATACACATTTATTTCAAGGCTTCATTGTTACACAAGTGTCTCAATAAAAGATTGCTAAAATTGGTTTCCTAAACTCCTTGTTAAAATACTGCAAGTCACTGTTCTGATAAACAGATACTGTACATAAACAGCTGAGCTTTAGGTTTGCATTGATTAATGTACTGAATTTATGCTTCAAGCAGTTAAAACAATGAACAGCTAGTTTCAAAATGTTATCGTTTTTCAAACCTTTGCCTTTCTCAGGCTGAAAAGCTTTAATACAAAGCATAAATCTATTTTCAACATAAAAGTGTGTATAGGTCTATATGTGTGTGTAGGGTGTTTGTGTGCTTTATTCTGCCTCAAACTCTTAATTTGCTGTTGAATCTACAGGGAGTAATTTGGATAATGGTTACTTGAATCCCTGTCTATAGCGTTCTCTATAGGGAATTCATTATCTTTCTGCAGAGGTAAACCTTAGCAGCATAGACCTTAAAACTAGTTACCAAAATAGTATTTTAAACAAGCAAAATATATCATATCTAATTTTTAAAAAATACATTGCATTTATATTCCTCCAGGTGGCTTGTAATGATCTCTCTTGGCAGGTAGGGCTAAAAAGTAATGACTGGTTCAGAGCCATCCCCAAGTTCCATGATCAAGTGGAGAGTTGATCAACTAGCTTCTAGTTGAAATTCAACCTCTTAGCAAACACACTATCCTGATTCTGCATGCATTGTTTTGCTATTACAAGTCCCCTGAGCAGTTCAATTGGAAGGTGAAAATTTCTACGTAGGTAAAACTGGAAAATAAGATTATTTCAGATTATTTGTCCATCTGAGCAATAGCCACCTCGGAGTTCTTTCTTTTTTTTTACTATACCTTGAGATTATTCTGTCAAGGCTACCAGATGTTGATGGCACTCTGAAAAATCAACAGTGCTATTTCCTGCCCCTTTGAGGAAGGAAACACATGAACACTGGAATGCAGGCAAGCTGTAACATAGCTTTAAAAAAAAAAAAAAACTTGTCACCTCCCCCAGAAGTTTAGAAAACAAAAACCTTGAGATCTTGGCTTTGCTGATGTGTACAGCATGTCTTTTCTTACATGCTTTGAACTATCTGTTGTATCTGTGTCATCCACCAATAATACTAAGTATAGCCCTTAGCCATTAAAACCATTATTGAATACTTTCACCATCAATGGGTCTCAAGAATCCCCTGTAATTTAAGTCTGTTTAGGAAGATTCTAACCTCTGGGGTAACAGCGAAGAAATTTGTACTATTAGCTATGTGTCACATTTTCAAATAGCTGAAGATACGTATAATCTCCTACATCAATGACCAATCCTTCAAACTTTCCCAAATAGCATTAAGTGGCAAGCACTTAGCCTATCTTGGTGAAAAAAGGCTCTGGATCTGATTAGTACTTGGATTTTGATTAATACTTAGTACCAGGGCTGTAGGTTGGACTGGGAAATTAAAAATACCTTCTAAAAGAAGGCTATGGAAAATCTCTTAGCCAAGCAAACAACATGGATGTCTCCATGAAATCAACAGGAACAGCTCAACTGAAAGAGACTCAGCTTTTATATTGGATGTTGGACCCCTGCCCTTCTTCATCATTGTTGTCCATATATGAGCAAAGAGCAGCTTATTAACATCCTCCTGAAGAGGCATTACTCATTTGATCTTCTACTGCTCCTTATTTTTCTTAATGTTAATATGACTAGAATAAAATGTTTTCCTTATTCGCATTCTGTCATGGGAGCAGAATTCAAAACAGTGATAAATTAGAATAACTGAATGATAGCCAGCATGTCCACATAACAGTTCTCCCCAGCAACCAACAGCTGTGAGCCAAAAGGTACTATAAGCAGACCAGCTTTTCAGAAGAACAGACAGTAAGTTTGTTGTATCTTAAAAGGGTTTTAGTTTTAAGAAAAACTGATGTGAGGAAATATCTCATGATTTAATTTTAAGCATGCATGCATGTGTGCAAACACACACACAGAATCAGTAAAAGGTTTGTTATTATTTTCAAATCTTTCAAATTTAGCAGGTATTCAAACAAGGAACAAGGAACTTTCTTGCCTTATGCTGAAATTTTGGCTCTTCCAGAGCCTCATTTAATGAACCCAAAATATTAATTTTATCGAAGAAAGACAAGCTTCAACATTTACATACTGAGAGATAAACAATGTCTGCTGCTTCCTTTCTTACAAAAGCATGCACGCATATAAATAGCATTGCAAAATTATAGCTATTCCTTGCTCCATAGCAGGAATTTTGCCTGAAAATAGACATCTTCTCCTGTAAGTAATTTGATATGCACATTTGATCTGACTCAGTTTTGTATAAATATATATTTGCGCAGATCCTTGATAATAGCATTACACCTGATAGCAGTTCACATTAACAATTCTTTTATTTTTACCATTGTTTTTCAAATAACAATCTGCCTTTTGGGGACCAAAGTGGATGAGTGATGATTTAGGACTGGATCTCTGAAGAGTTTTTATTTTAATTTGAAAGAAATGTGAAATAAGACAGTCTTCTCCCAATCTGAAGTCCTTTGATTATGATAAATATATTTCCCATTATTTCCATAATAGACAGTCTGGACTATATCAGTGTGACCTAAGTTGTTATAAACACATTCTTCTGATAGGGTGTGGAGAAAAGTTTACCTGTTTCTGTATTCCATTTTCCTAACCTAAATGCCTGCCTTTTGTTTCAAGCCAGAAAACTCATACATTTTTTTGCTATGCAAGCTTTCTGTCACAGGACTAAGAGAATCTCACACACAACACACAGCTGTTTAGAACACACCTCACAGAACTAAGAGCATTTCTAGAAATTTTTGCAGGTTGGAATTTATAAATATACTGTAAATGAAAGGCTCCTATGTATTGTGGTTAAATATTAATTAGAATTGGTAATAGATAGGCAGCTACTACTGAGCAAAGCTGACTGGACAATTTTCCTTTATTTCATTCTGTCTTGCTTGACTGTTCATACATCTTCCAAGGATCTTCCAATGAAACTCCTGAGTCTGTCCACTCATCCTATCCATTGTCTTCTGCTTCTTCTGTTTCCCACAATCCTGCCAGGCACACTTGTATTTTCTGCTTTATAATGCAGAAAATGTTCAAATGTACATTTGTAAATTCGTATTTATCAAAATAATAATAATCCTTGTAATATATGGCTAGAAATGCCAAATCCAGTTTAAATACTTGGCTGACCGTGTGACCAGCCATAATAATAATAATTTACTAAATTTATAGGCTGCTTGATTCCCAACAATTTCCAATATCAATCCAACTATGCATTTGAATAATTGAATATTTGTACATACAGTGTTCTAATGACACAAACTGGATGCTAAGATTTTACAAATGGAAAACATTGTCCAAGCTATTTTTATTATAAAAATATTACAGTTTAGTGGATATTATGCAACTGCTGGTTGGGTATTTTTAAATAAAGATGGTGGTGATGATATATTTTTTAAACTTTCTCAACTGTGGTGGAGGGAGTATTTCAATAGCAGAATAACAAAGCCAATCTTTGTGGATGTTGGTTTCATTTTAGCAGCACGATGGGTACACCACTGAGAAATTCACTGTAAGCAATCTATTTCATACCAGTAGATGAAATCATTATTAATGCTTTCTTAATTAATTTCAGTTTTCAGAGATTATTACCTTTTATGAAATATTGAGATGGGTAATGACCTACCCTGATCAACTAGCAATTAATCCAATTAAGAAAGGAGATCCTAATGAAGTACTGCTGTGATCCACTGTTAGAGAAAAGTTTTGGGGTAGCCTTCCTCAATCTAGTGCCATTCAGGCTGGTGATGTTGATAATTGGTAATAATAGGAAATGTACTCCCATACATGTACACACATCTCAGGAAACTCATTGAGGATCTGAATTTGCTAGCTATTTATTCTTCCTAAATAATAATAATAATAATAATAATAATAATAATAATAATAATAATAATAATGTTGAAAGAGACCTTGGAGGTCATCGAGTCTACCCCCCTGCTCAGGCAGGAAACCCTACACCATTTTGGACAAATGGCTGTCCAGTCTCTTCTTAAAAACTTCAAGTGTTGGAGCATTCACCGCTTCTGGAGGCAGGTTGTTCCATTGGTTAATTGTTCTAACTGTCAGGAAGTTTCTCCTTAGTTCTAGGTTGCTTCTTTCCTTGATTAGTTTCTATCTGTTGCTTCTTGTCCTGCCTTCAGGCTCCTTGGAAAATAGCGTGATTCCTTTTTCTTTGTGGCAGCCCTTGAGATATTGGAACACAGCTATCATGTCCCCCCTCGTCCTTCTTTTCGTTAAACTAGACATTCCAGCAACTGTTCCTTGTATGTTTTAGCCTCCAGTCCCCTAATCATTTTTGTGCTCTTCTCTATACTCTTTCTAGAGTTTCAACATCTTTTTTACATTGTGGTGACCAAAACGGGATGCAGTATTCCAAGTGTGGCCTTACCAAGGCATTGTAAAGTGGTATTAATACTTCACACAGCAGCACACTGCTGGTTCATATTTAAGTGATTGTTCACTAGGACTCCGAGATTCCTCTCACAGTTACTACTATTCAGAAAGGTACCCCCTAAACTATATCCCATATGATCTGCAACTTAAGAACATATTACTCATAAACAAATTCAACTCCATGGAGTCAGAAAAAGTATTACTAAATCCAACTTTAGACAAGAAAGAAAGTTTAATTAGTATTTGGAACACTTATATAAGAGAATACATTAAACCTATGCAACACTTTAGGTGAAATTCATTGCCAATTTTTATTCCATACTGAATGGAAGTTCTTTTTACCAACACTAACGTCTGACAATTCTCACAGTACTTTTTTGAGGGGATTTCCAGATGCAGATATGCAGAATAAGAAAGTAAGAGTGATCCATTTTGGTATGTAAATGAATTAGGTAATTTATCATTTATAATCCTCCTGTGAATTCTTGGTACTTTTTTAAAACTTTTTTTCTTTAGATTTTCATAGAACAGTATTTCCTTTATATTTTATTTTATTTTGTTTTGTTTTATTGTTGTTGTGTGCCACCCAGAGTTGCTTTTGATTAGACAGAATAGATAGATAGATAGATAGATAGATAGATAGATAGATAGATAGATAGATCTAACAATCTATGAAAACATACAGAGAGATAAATAGACACATATTATACATTGTGATCTTTGTTTAAATTGATCTTTATTACCAGACTCTCTAGTAGGAATGGATTGTACATGATCAGTGCTAATTCTAAACAATACAATGTGCATTCATTATAGTCCATAAGAACAAAAAAGTCCTGCTACTCAATTGCTATGAGACATTCACAGCAGAGTATAATAGCCACTCTGTAGCTTGCATTCATTGCAGCTTATGTTCAGAAGCACTCTATTCTCTTACAGAAAACACACAAACATGTATAGGCATTCATATTTATTTGTTTATTGCATTTACATGTATATACTCAGTGCAGCATATGTAGATTTCTGAGTTAAAATATCTGCATTAAACATAATCAGAAAAACATTCCTGGTGAACTGGATGAATCTAGGAAATTTGCTTGAATAAATCTTAATGATTTATAATGATAAATCATGGTGTTGTGCAACCACAGCTAGTATTTTTAAAATATTGCCTGAAAAGCTCCTTCTCTCCCCCCCCCCTCTCTCTCACACACACACACTGGAGTTTACAGGAATTGGAATTTTGCCATTCCAACTTATTAAAATGGAATTATGGCATATAACTTGATGAACATAAAGAGAAAATTGGACATCCCTAATAGTGTGAAAACTCTTTTAACACCTGTTCTTTGTGTCACAGGGCATGTGTCTTCCAATGTATATTAGAGACAAATTTAAGCAATTGGTAGGGTGTTTTTTTTGTTGTTGTTGTTGTTTTATGTAGGGAAATACTATATGTTCCCACTCTATCTCAGCAAAATTTGATTAATCCTGAATATGTTTTCCTCTAAGGGGAAATGAATCAAAGTTACTCTGGAAATTAATGCAACCTGCTTCTCAGTGGACATATTTAACATGTTATGACCTGACCGTATTCACTCTTATGAAAGACCCCCACAGCAGAAGCTGAATTTCAAGAGAGATGGATTTCTATCGCGAAAGAGAGAAACCAAGACAATGGCAGAGTAATTTGCTTTCAAGCCACCATCCTGGCTTCTCAGATTATGGACAAAAATAATCCAATGATCAAATCACTTTGTTACAGAACAAGCTGTCCTGTCTTTCAACTTTTAAATCTAATTGTGTATTTTCTCTTCATTACTAGTAGGCAGTGTCTGTATCAGCCCTGAAGGCAGCAAAAAAGATTATAGGATGCAGGGATAGTGTACAGATTTCTCCCATACTACTTTGCTGTTTTAACTAAAATCCACTACCTGGTTACCAAACTAACTCCCCTACTTTGCCTTACAGTAAAGCTGAATCTTCTTAACATAGTTATTGAGTATCACAAAATCTTGAGGCATGATGACTTACAAGATGAGAAAATCCAATATAAGAAATGAATTATTTTCTTTTTCTGTTTCCCAAACAAATATTGGAAAACTAAAATGTATCTCTCTGTCTCTCTTTCTCTGCCTCTCTTATTAGTGTTCTTTAAAATAATAAGAAATAATAGTGTCTGAAAAATTAACACAGCAGAGGAATCTTAAAATATATTTCAATTATAGTTACTATACACTGGCTAGAAATACTGAGCATAGGTGTTCAAAACTTTTGTATATATGCTTCCAATTTGTTTTAATATTACCTTTTGAACTTTTTTTTTTAAAATAATCATTTTGCTGTGTTTTATGTTGTAATGTTTTGTGGATGAAAACTTTGTTTTAATA